ATCAATCTAATCATCTTTTTTACAGTTTCAGGGGGCTGGTTTTTAATTCAGTGCTTTCCTTCTCTTAGACTCGTTGCCAACCATGAGAGAACCCAGTGTACGCTGCTACTGAACCCATAACTGGAGAAAAGCACAGCAGAGTATGGATAAAGTTTAAAGATTACGTTCATAGTTTTAGTCTGTGTTAAGAGCGAACATAGCAAATACAACTTGATTACGGGGAGAAAAAGTCATTCTTGCAGAAATCTTTGTTTATTTTCAGTTAGCATATCATGCAACCTTTGAAGACCAAATTTTGAGGCTAATTTTAAGAGGGTCATATCATACACGAGATATAAAATTAGAGTATGTACTTATCACCCTGGCTAACGTCGTTGACCAAACTATATATCTATTTGAGCTCTTTGATCAAATCCAAAGAAGAATCAGCAATATTATAGGTCCTGATCTGGCAGCTCGGATCCAGTCACTTTTTCAACGTAGCAAGGTTGCTTCTCTCTGTCTTTTCTATAAATACTTTCATGGTAATTGTTCGAATGAGCTCTTTGCTATGTTATCTAGATTTTTTGAATTTAAGCACAGCACTCGACCGACGTCGAAATCTCATCAATTTACAGTTGAGCTGGCTAGATGTTGTCGTAAATTCTATTCTAACAGTTTCTTTTCTCACACTTCTCACTTGTAGAACTTTCTGCCAAGTTCCATGCCTTCCAGCCAACTTTAATCTGCAAAGATTTAAAAGGAATGTTAATCGCTATCTACTGTCCAATTGATTATTCTTCTTCCTTCCCGCAAATCATTATTATTGGTGTTCCCTAATTTTTCCACACTCTGTAACCCTTTGTGTGTTAGTGGCATTACTGCCTTGCATGGGGTGAAACCTATAAAAGAAATTAAATAAATAAACTGAAGCATACTTCAATAAACAAAATTTCAATAGAAAGAGAGGATATTGTAATTCCATAAAAATTTCAATAAAAGATCAGGGTGAACCCATATTCAATATATGATTCACTAGCAGCATAACCCGGCGTTGCCCTGGCTTGATTCAAAAATCGTACGACTCATACAGCAACATCTGTTGTCTCGTCTGCTATCGTTTGCTATCACTTGACTTAAAATATTTTTGCCCTTCCTTGCCTTTAAAGAAGTGCCTTTTTCCGTGCTGATGTTGCTACATGCCTTACTTCTTGCTTATCTCACACTGTGAATTTTTTCTAAGCTCTATACTAAACATTAAATCTGCTACGAAAAAAGAACTAAACAAAAATGAACACAAAACGATCAGCTTTAAAAAAAGGACTCGTAACTGGAAAAACCGAATGAAAAAAGAATATTAACAACAAATACTTTTTCACACCCAACCCAATTCTGCGGAATCAGAATCAACGTTGAGTTTAAGCAAGCGAATGAGCCAATTGGAGTAAAGTGCCATGCAGATTTAAATTTTTCTCACTTGTGACGAATGCAGCTATCGATTTTTTTTTGCATGCTAGCATGCTAGTTAGCATTCGTGTCAGTCAGCTGTTGGCTCTCACGCTGGCCAATAGAATCTTCCTGCCCATTCGTGGCAGCCAGCTATAGGCTCTCACTCTGGCCAGTAGAAAATGGCCGCAAGCTACATGAAAATTCCCGTAGAATCATGAAAAAATCGATTATTTCCACTATCAATGGGAGTTGGGAAATGCAATGTCGGTCTTGGCCTTCCCGCTAACCTGGAGCATGTGCATGTAAATTTTGGTGCAAATCCGTCGAAAATTGCGGCCGTGCATTCGTTACACACACACACACACACACACACACACACACACACACACACACACATCCTGCCTTTTATAAACAGAGATTATACTATTTTTTGGCTAGAAAGTATGGTAGTTCCATAAGCGAGAAGTGCGAGAAAGAAACTGTTAGCATAGGACATACAGCTAGCCAGTTCGACTGTAAAGTGATGAGATCTTGACGCCAGTCTAGTACTGAGCTTAAATTCAAAAAGTCTAGGTACCATAGCAAAGAGCGATATTTATTTGTAAAAATTACAAAATGTTTTGTCTTATATTTAAACTTACCTAGCCACAATCACTGGCCCAAACATACAGCAATATTCCTTACACCAAAACAACACGTTCTTACTTACCATTCTTACTACAGTCACCATAATACCTCAAGTCTCTATGAAAGTCCTAACTAGTCCCCATATGTACAATTCGTTGTCTGTGGGGGGGATAAAACAATGGCGAAGAGCTCATCAATTACTATGAAAGTATTTATAAAAAAGACACAGAGAGGAGGTGGGAAAGTGACTGAAGCTGAGCCGCCAGATCAGGACCAATAATATTGCTGATTTTTCTTTGGATTTTATCAAAGAGATCAAGGTAAATAGCAGAGGCACCGGACCATATGTGGCAGCAATATTCTAAACATGAACGAATCATATGTAAGATAGTTATAGATTAAAACAAATTACTGAACACGTATTTAAGTTTTAAAATCTATCAGCATTTTCTATTGCTATTAAATTTGTAAACCTCTAAAATAAAAAATAATCCATTTAGATGTAGATGTACTAATATGGAAAAGAATGAAGATTTTCAATAATATTTTCAGTCATAATAATGAATATTATTTGGAATGCGCCACAGACAAACTTGGATGTGGGGGGGAGATGACATTCTGACTTATAATAAAAAGGGTGCATTGGGTAAAAAAAAAGTTTGAGAATCACTGTTCTAGATAATGTCGAAAAAATAGGTTTATACATCATCGCCCAGTGACAAATGCGACGAAGCATTTGATGAATCTGCGATCTAAATTACTTTATAAATCATTTTAAGCAGATTTCTAGGATTGACAAGTTAATTCGCGGGCACGCACGCACGCACACACACACACACGCACACGCACGCACACACACACACACACAGGCACACACACATGCAGACACATACAAACACATATACACGTAAGAACACCCACCCACACACTCACGCAAACTCGCACACATACACATAAACATACGCACACGCGCACACACGAACACATACACGCACACACACGCGCGTGCGCACGCACACACAAAGGCGCGTGAACACGTACACCCGCACATAGACGCACACAGACGCACACACATACACACACAAACAGATTCACATGCACACACACACACACACACACACACCTGTGTCAAAAATTAAGTCACGTAGATTTAATTATTTTTGTCAATAGCTTTGAATGTTAATCCACTTATAAATCTATGTCTTAACATGCGATCCAAATTGTCTTCGACTGTCAAATATATTTGAGGAGGCAATTTTAATATGGGGCGCTTTTCCAGACTAAGGTATACACAGTTGATTACGTATGAAGAAATAACTTAAAACTTGAATATACCAAGTTATTCTGCATTATAAATTGCTTCCCACTGTGCAGTTACAATCAATCACTTTCTAAAAAAAAAAAACACTCGAAAACCCTATAAAACCTCCCCCTAAACAAACAGGTTTTCACACACGTGTTTCTGTTTCCTTTCTGCTTATATAAATAAATCTGCTTGATTCTAAGGCGCATATTAACATATGAGCCTTTTTCATACACACACTCAATTGATTGATGGATTTCTTTCTCATCAACCCTCAGTCGGATATTTACAGACGAAATCCATTTTGGATTATAAGATTAATTCCTTTGTTTTTTTTTGTGTGTGCGAATATTGCATTAACATTTTTTTGAGAATAAAAATTAATTTTTACAGATACAAGTCCTACTTTTTAACCCATAGCTGGGGGGAGAGGCGGTTTCATACGTTCCCCAAAGTTAATTGCGCGTAAGTTAAAGTAAGTAATGTCTCGGCCAGTTATGAGCAAACTGCGTCCCGCGAGCCACATGCGGTTCCTTTGGTTTTCTGAATAGCACGCCTAATTTCATAACGTTTATTAAAAATGATCTTTCGTTCCCACTTATTCACTCACATGCTCTCTCACGCATAACTGCGTACTTGATGATAAAATAAAATGTTTCTTGAATTTTGTTAACTTTTCTTTGAAGGTAACGTTTCCAACATTTTAAACCATTTGCGATTTTTACTAAGGAAGATCATGCGTGTAAATATCTTTTGCTTTAGAAACAGGACGTTCATAATAACTTTTTTTCTCTGGAGAAGAAGTATAATTTTTATTTGAAGAATTATTCTTGGATTTATGATTGGATAAGTAAGAAACCGATCACATTTAACAGTCTTTTAATCATTATTATTTGCGATAATATTATCCCCAAATTGTAATTAAGAAGTCATTTCTCAAAAAATAAACTAAAAAAACAAAAACAATAACAAACAAAAAAGCAATCGACCCTTCTCCATTTCTAAGGCTATCGAGTATAGTCTTCTGTAGTGAAAGGGCACCTCGAGGTGGTGTAATGGTTAGCATGCTTTTCTCGCTAGAACAGTTACGACTGAGTAGTGAGTTCGATCCTCACTTGGTGCCCCATACTTTCGGCCTTGTGCTACATCTGAGCTACGCTTGGAAAATCGCTAGTCTACTGCAGTGAAAATAGCAGAGGCAGCTTCAACGAAAAATAATCTTGTATGTTTTTTTAGTAATGCGGCCCGCCTTTTTGACGAGTCCTACCTGATGCGGCCCACTGGTCGGAAATGTTTGCACATGCCTGGTCTAGGCTATGCGTTATATTTTAGATGTGAGGAGATTTGCACCCCTTTTTGTTTGCGGTGCAGCCC